GAATGAGAGTAGTAGCTTCAAATGGTGACGAAACAAGTCGGCCCATGACAAAAATCACATTATTCATTAAAGTTGCATTGACCATCACAATTAAGTAACTACATGAAACAAATGTTTCAGTTTATGAGTCATTGCTTGTACTTCATTTTGCACTGCAAGCTAGCTTACGGTGCCTTGTTGTGGCATAGTTATCCAACCTAAGATTGTGGAAAGAGGTTCAATCTTAAGATCTCCATTGTCCCAAACTCAGAAAAATTAAATAGTGTGACGCTTTTGAAGAATTTAAGAGTACGTATCTACTGTGTTGATGTCATGAAGCATGTGTGAAGAAACGGAATGAAACAGCTTAGGGATGTCACAATTCTGTTTGGTTGAATCCAAATCAGAAAACCTTTTCTACGGAGGCCAAGGGAAACAGGGAAATTAACCGTTCGATTGCATGGTTTCGAACATCTTATGTGTAGAAGTCAAACAATTTAGAGTTGTTTGGATAGATGAACAATTTTCCTACGTTGTTGTCACTAATGATGTGACGAGTGGTAGGCCAAGTTCGACCTGTATACACACTGTGAATGTTTCCATTCACTTGACACATGATGACAATTTTAAGAAATACGTTTCTTTTTCCTTATGGTGGTTGTAAACGAAGCTTTGCTCCTTTGCCAAGTTAATCCAAGCACAGTACCTCTCTGTCTTGTGCCTGGATGAATGAACTGTTTTTGATTATCCAAGCTCATTTGGTGGGAGAAAGACACATTACTGTAACGGTAAGGATTCAGTGGAGTGGGCTAGTCCTAAGTATTCATAGTCTTGACATGGCAACCACTCCCCTCACAGTGGTATTTCTTTCAGTCAACAGAACAGTGTTTGGGGAGCTTTGTCTTACTTTCAGTGCAATGACTAGGGAGCATTTTTAATCAACACTGAACTGCCATCGATTCCTCATTGTTTTCAAGTGACGCAATTGCAGTGTATATTTTAATGTGGGAATGTTTTTTTCCTGTCACGCTGAGACAGAAAGTTTGCCGGCACGGTTTGGTTGTGTCGATAATTCCACCACCTACGCCACTGTAGATGTGCGGAATCTTGGCAGGTGGGGTGAGCTGGTGGATTTTCAGGCCAGTGATTCCTTAAAAGGGAAGTCAACTCCAAAGTAATATACAATAATAACAAGAATATACTGTATGTGCATCCACTAGTCTAAACACGGCATTTTGATTAATATTGTGTTTGTGCAATATAAATTAAGCAGCAAAAATGCACCTGTTTTTAGCCATCTCGGGGGGTGGCCATTTTGCCACTTTCTGTCAAATAAAAATGACATCACAGTTGATCGGGGCTCGGGTGACAACCAATCACTTGTTCACTCACTTGTTTGATGAAGCTGATCCATGATTCATTGTTCCCTGAGCTCCGAGCAACTTTTATGTCATTTTCATTTTCAGCACGTGGCAAAATGGCCTGCCCGTGAGTTGGCTATAAATGGGTGGATTTTACTGCTTAACTCATATTGCACAAACACAATGTTAACCATAATGCCGTGTTTAGACTAATGGAGGCGCAAAGAACATATTCTTTGCTAAGAACATTTTTGAGTTGACTTCCCCTTTAAATAGCTCTAACAAGGATGACAGAAAAAAGTTGTCTGAATCAGCATCAGATGGTCCAGCTTGATAGCCCAAAAGGGAATGCTTAAGCTATGTTTAGATTTTCCATTTGGACTCTAGTTTAAAAGAGAACAACAACAACAACAATTTTAAGAGAATTGTCTTTTTCTCATTTCCCTTTCAGCAGATAAATGTTGTCATCTTCTGTTGTCTTTTCATACTTGGAGTGTCTGTGTTCCTGGACCTGGATACGAGACTACATTCTTGATGGAGAGCATCTTATTGTGTGCTATTGAAATTACATTAATTTCCAATCAACACTTTGCTTTGCCTCTTCTCTTTCTTCTCATGCTTCTTTTTCCCATCCCTGAAGTGTGGGAAGACAAACACTCCTGCCTGTCGGAGGCTCTCTGCCAAATCAGGCCACACAAACTCTTGCATCTTCAGAGTTGCTTCTGTGAGTCATTTGTAAGGCATCACCCATGCTGTTTTGCCACTTCCACACTCAAATAACAATCAAGTTGAAGCTGAAGGAGTAGACTTTGAGTGATGGCACTCTCTCTTGTTTGTCTCACAGGGACATATATGAAAACAACCTTTTTTTTTTCCAGTGTCGTCATCCCACAAGTTGCCAGGAGCCACGACACGCTGTGTCAGCAGCTTCCATGGTGGAGATGACTGTCAGCGTGATTGATTTAGTCTGAATGTTCAGTAGTTTGCTGAAGTGCATTATAAATGCCTGGTAAATCACACAAACCCGTTTTGAAGGCAACATTAAAACTTGGCTCTGTGTAGTGTTCCGTGCTAAAGCTGTTCTGGTTTTCTACATGGTGGAAAGAAATATAGGTAAGAACATGAGGCAGTTAGAAATGATTGAAAATTATAATATGGAGAATAAAGAGGGATTTTTCCTTTTTTTTTTTTTGCGGAAAAAGCCTTTAATGAAATTAGTTTAGATGTATTTTACAAGAGTCTTCATTCAGATAAATTGGGTTAAAACATTATATGTTAGATTATAATTCTATAATTATGAATAATTGCCATATTTCAAACAAAGTGTCCATATTGAGAGGTTGTAATAAAGGATGTCCTTCATCCCCCTATTTATTCATTATGACAGATATTAGCAATTTAAATAAGATTGGATAAGACTTGAGAAGAGCTTCATATTACCGGTAATCATTTTGAGAGGAAAATTTCAATGGATGCTGATGACGCAACCTTCTTTCCATCCAATGTTTATTGTTTCCAAAAGCTGATAATTCTCTTGGATACCTTCCCACAACAGTTTGGATTGAAGTTTAATTTTGATAAATGCAAAACACTTACGCTTGGTGTTCTCAAGGCAATAGACTTGAAAATTGATTGTATTAGTGATATGGATGGATGGACCTGTCGATTTAGTCACTGTTGTTATTCCACAAAGATTGGAAGACATGTGCCGAGTAAATTACACTCAAAAAAAAAAAGGAAAACATTCACAAAGCCAATTACACAAAGGAAAAGCATTGCCACAAAATGGAAACATTGGTTTTGTTAATTCCTTGGTCATTATGACATTTATATACCTCTACTTGTGTTATTACCATTGCCACCACAAAATGTTTTCAGGAACTATCAGAAGAAGCTCTTTGAATTCATCTGGGATGGCAAAATAGAAAGAAGTGTCCTGTATGAAGATGATGAATGTGTGGGATTGAAATTGTTGAATCTCTAGCAGGGATAGTATCTAAGTTGAATTTAAATTCAGAATTATGTACCAGTGTTCTTTTGGATGAAAGTCATATATGGTGTCAAAAGCAGCAATTCGGACTGGTTGTGATGCGTTCCCCCTCTCCCGCCTTCCATCCTCCCTGTTCAATACATGTTTATTCTCGAGATTTGTTGTACAGGTTTTTTAAATGTACACTACAGTTTTTTTTTCTCAGCCTCAAACCATTCTCGTTAAATGGGAGTATGGTCCTTTTCTTTTTCCCTATTGTTTTACTTTCGGTCGCTGATGATGTAGTGGCGCACTCGCAGGACTTGTGTGCGGGTAGTGTGGGATCAGTTCCCACTCAGTGACGGTTCGCATGTGGGTTTGAATGATCGTTTGTCTTTATATGTGCCTTGCGACTGACTGGCGACCAGTTCAGGGTGTACTCTGCCTTCTGCCCGAAGTAAGCTGGGATAGGCTCCAGCAACTCCCTGTGAGCCTTGTGAGGATAAAGCGGATTAGAAAATGGATGGATGTTTTCTTTTCACATCTAAGATATCAGGGCGCTGAACAGCAAACCGCTTCCTGTTCTGTCTCCCCCTCTGCTGGTCATTGTTTTGTTTATATTCCTATGGACGGGTTGTAACTGGGAAAGTAAATTCCTTGTGTGTTTTACATACTTGGCCAATAACTGATTCTGTTTCGGATTTTGAGTCACCAAATGCTCAAGATGAGAAGATTGTGATGGTGTGATCAAGCCCACATATTGTAATGACCAGGATTCTAAATGAACACTCCCCAACCCGTCAAATGTGGGTTAAAATGAATTTTGGCGGGTGTTTGTCTGGGTACCACTTTTGCCGGTGAATGCTTGGGACACAAGTGTGGAAACGTCGCCCTCACTGTCAATGCAACATAAGATGATATTGTGCAAAGGAGGTGGCATGTTGTGTTTCAGTTAATGAGGGGCCATGTCTGACGAACTTGGTTCTCGGGACCTCAGCCTACAATGTGATGAACTTCAGTGTCATAATCGAGAATTGATCGGGCGGCACGGTGATTGACTGGTGAGCACGTCAGCCTCAGAGTGCAGAAGTCTGCCGTTCAATTCTAAGCCCCGGCCTTCCTGTGTGGAGTTTGCATGTTCTCCTCGTGCCTGTGTGGGAACTCCGGTTTCCTTCCACATTGTAAAAACATGCATGGCAGGTTAATGAAACACTCTAAATTGTCGCTAGATGTGATTGTGAGTGCAAATGGTTGTTCGTCTATGTGTGCCCTGCGATTGGCTGACAATCGGTTCAGGGTGTCCCCCGCCTACTGCCCGAAGACAGCTGGGATAGGCTACAGCACGCCCTGCGATCCTTGTGAGGATAAGCGGATCAGAAAATGGATGGATGGCTGGATGGATGAACACACTACACATGAACAAACATATTTTGTGACTTGATTTATGACGAGCTTGCCCCAAGTGATGATTTGTGTCCTTTTGCCTCAAATTTAGTGTGGACTTGACATGCTTTATTTTTGCCACTATCATTTGGACTTGCTGAAAACACAAAGGGTAACACTTGAGACTTGCTAATGATGTACAAACATGACAAGGGAATGGGCTTAAAACAAACAAAAACAAAAACAAGAAAACATTTTTACTGTGACAGGAATGTAAATGTCTGATATGTGTTTCCATGTCCCCTCAGGTGGAACTTTCTCCTGCTCCTGTCAGTATGCTCTGCAGCATTCTCTGGAGAAGAAGACTACTTGGCTCAAAGTACGTAGCATTTAAAATGCATTTTATAGTCTTAAAATCCATTGTCAGCGACCACTGAACACAACTTCAGTATTATATATTTTTTACTGACTGACATTACTGACTCACTCAGCCTTGAATAAATAATAGAGTGGTCAAATTTTGAGGTGAGGCAGAATATTTTACTTTTATATAAATCCGATGCATCCGATTGGTTAGCAACGATTCCAAACCTTTAAGGAGCCAAGATACTCTTTTCTTGTATGAATAGTAATAGGTGGATACATTGGGTAATTGTATCAGCTGTCATCTAGTGGAAGAGCATTTAATTGTTCTGCTTGACAGTATCCGTCAATGGCATAGATGGATGGCAAAAGGTATTCAATTATATACAGGGATGCACATAACATTTTTGTCATGGTCCTCACATGAGCACCAGAGAATGTTGTTTGGTGCTCAATTCTTTTCCTGATTCACCGACCTCATCGATGAAATTAGACTTGCGGCACATCTGCGAAATGTTTATCGTTAATATGTGTAGATATGTAGTTTTAATATTATTGATTAAACTTGCTTTCAGTTTTCACTTTGTATTTCCTAATTACAACACCATACCAGGGCTATGCAATGGCAGCTCATTAAAACAATTTACTGTTTTATAAAAATGTATAAAATTCATATTTAACACAACTGAGTTGCATGGCCTGTTGGAAAAATTAATTGCCCACCTTTGACATGCAGTATGAAACCATGTGCTCAGCTAGCCACCTTAGCTAGCACACCACTCGAAGTTGTCCCTAGGTGTGAGTGTGAGTGCGGATGGTTATTCGTCTCTCTGTGCCTTGTGATTGGCTGGAAACCGGTTCAGGTTGTCCCCCGCTTACTGCCCGAAGACAGCTGGGATCGGCTCCAGCACGCCCCGTGACCCTTGTGAGGATAAAAGTGGATCAGAAAATGGATGGATAGATGGATAGATGGATGGTAACACAGATCAGATTATCATGTGATTTGCACTTGAGTCAACCCACCGTGTCATTGATGCTTTTGTGGTTGACATGTACTGTATACATGTACGTTGGTGTCGGTTCCCACTCAGTGGCAGAGTGGATGTGGGTGTGAATAGTTGTTTGTCTATGGATGTGCCTTATGACTGACTGACGGCCACTTCAGGATGTAGTCTGTTTTTTTCCCAAAGTCAGCTGGGATTGGCTCCTGCATGCTCCACAAACCTGTTCAGGATAAGCGGTGTTGAAAATGGATGGATTGACCCGCCGTTCAGTTGTTAGATGCATCATTGTTGGCCATAGACTTATTTGATTGACACCTGATTATGACACTGACGTTCAGCACGCTGTCGGCTGAGAACCAAGCTTGTCAGTCGTGGCATTTAAACACAGCATGCCACCTCCTTTGCAGAATATCATCTTATGTTGAACTGACACTGAGGCGACTCTTCCACACTTGTGTCACGTACATTCACTGGCCAAACCGGCGGGTACGTGAATTTTAACCGCATTTTGCAGGTTGGTGAGTGTTCATTTAGAACCTTGGTCACCCCAGTATGTAGGCTTTATCACACCGTCACAATCTTTTCATGTTGATCATTAGGTGACTCAGGGGCAGAGGCTAAGAGATCATTTTCCTCTGTTCCTCCCTCAACATGCCTGCTCTTGCACTCACTGCCTTAGAATGCACATAAAAGCTACCTCAATAACCTCTCCGGGTTTGCTGCCTATAAACTCACCCATCTTTTGCCCCTTTCAGTGCACTTCTCATCACTGTCGTCGTTTTTCTTTTAAGTCAGTGCCCCTGAATATGTTAAAAATCATCTCAATGTTCAAATACATACAAATAGGAGCACACTCAGAAAGCAATACACTAAATCAGCAGAGATGAAAAGGAAATCTATAGAAGATGTTGACCTCATCTGGTAATTCTTGAAAACAGGTATGCCCTATTAGGGAATGTGCATATAGGCGAAGGAGAAAAGGAATTGGTGAGAGTTTTCAGTACAGAAGTCAGTGTTGGCGGTTTCACTTATAATCATTTGAGCCAGAACAATGTGCCCATTCAAACATTATGCTCACAAACTCTTCCCTATGTGAGCCACTCACAAATGAGCATGAACATGTTTTGGGAAAGACGAATGCAAATGAATAATACTTCCCTTGAAATGCATTGGAACAGTTCCAATCCCTTTAATTTAGTAATTTACGGAAAATATGTTGGGCCCTATTTTCGTATACAGGCGCCCTTGCACTCAGCGTAAAACTGGGCACACCTTCATTCTGGTGCTGGGGCAAGTCTAATCTAGTGTGTTTGGAACCATGTTGCGCCTCATTCACAGAGGTGCCGAGCCCTGGACACACTTCACAATTTGGCCACACAAAGTAAGACTGCTCTCGGCGTAAAAAATGCCGCGTCTGAATTTAGGGTTACTTTTACAATGACCAAATGTGAGTACGTTTGTTTTATTTACATTAAGATTTAATTTTTGATCCATCCACTTTCTAACTTGATTGTGTTCTGTATTTTCTGTACTCATGAGTTTGTTATAACCGTCATTACTATAGAATATGTTTGTGTTAGCTGCAAACAACATTAAATGGATCATTTATATGTAATTTAAACAGCTGGGGACCCAGTACTGACCCCTGAGGGACACCACAAGCAAGTTTATCAGATAAATGTACACCTATTTTTACTTATTGTGTTTGCACGGATAAATCATTATTTAACCAGTTCCCAGCTACCCCTGTGATCCCATATTTCTCGAAAATGAGTGATTTATAATATCAAATGCATTTTTGAGAGCAATGAATATTCCGATTGCATGTTTTATTTTATTTTTTTGTCCAGTAGATTTGTAACTCCTGTAACTGCTTCAATCAGTGGTCCTTTTAGCTCTGAAGCCATACCGGACTTTATTTAATACTGTATACAATGTTTTAGGAGGAATTTCTCAAAACAAGAATGTAATGGGGGCTTATGATTGCTTAGAAAAGGGGGTGGAAAAAAATGTCCAAATAAACCACTCCGTGAAACGAAACCCGTTGTAACAAATAAAAAAAAAGTAAAATTCTTCTCGAAAGTCTCTTACCGGAAGTCGCTCACATAATGTTTCCCCATGAGGACCCTCAGGATTAGGTGGATACATAGTAATTGAAATTCATGATTATCATATCTCATGAATCTTTGGGGCCAGTACCAGTTCTGACAGGCCCAGCGCAAAGTGATTCATTGTGGCCTGACTACTCAATAAGACTTAATGTTGGACCCTGCAGCACATATCCATTTTGAAAAGATGTCATGCCAAATAAAGAGAAGGTTCATGTCTATATTAGCAAAAAAAAAATACCTCAGACTGACCCTGAGATCGCACCATCGTAACATGCACTCCCACCAGCAAACATGTGCACACAAGTTCAAGCGGTCAAAATTTGATCTATTTAGGTATGTTCTGTGCTTCTACCTTAGTTTGCCCTTCTTGCACGTGCACATGAACATCCCGGTCAGGGTACCTCTTAAAATCACTTATGACACATAGAATTGCAATGTGTCAAGCTCTCCCAACTTCCCATTTATCATAAGAAAGTATCCCCCCCACCCCCACCTTCCTTCTCCTTAAACTATGACAATCCAGTACAAAAATAAGTGACACATGCGACACATTTTCTTATTGAGCTGCCTAAAGTTCTGTACCTAAAGACTGCAAGGATTTGCTTTTACTTAAAACAAAGTTGCATGTTGTTTTTGTTCCTTGCGCCTTACTTTGAGCAAACCAACATCTAGTATGGGAGTTTGGTGTAAATTGAGCATAGCGGCAAATTGGGCCACTACTTGAAGAAGAAATGGTAAAAATTAAAATTTATAAAAATCGGATGGCACCGTGATTGACTGCTGAGCACGTCTGCCTCACAGTGCAGAAGTCTGGTGTTCAATTCCAGAACCGGCCCTTCCTGTGTGGAGTTTCCATGGTCTCCCATGCCTGCGTGGGAATTCCAATTTCTGTCCACATTCCAAAAAACATACATGGCAGATTAATGGAACACTCTAAATTGTTCCTAAGTGTGATTGTGAGTGGGAATGGTTGTTTGTCTATGTGTGTCTTGCGATTCGCTGGCAACTAGTTCAAGGTGAACCCCACCTGCTGCCCAAAGTCAGCTGGGATGGTCTACAGCCCGCCTGCGGCCCTCATGTGCGACCCAATGAAGCGGTTCAGACAACGTATGGATGGACGTAGCTGAATGTGTTCCTTTCTGTTTTTATTCAGGATCAGAAACACTTTTGTCACTGCAGTAATGACAATGTGAGAGATTTTGATTGAATTGTTTATTGGTTGGTTTGTCAAAGGTTTGCATAAGGACCAATCAAGAACTCATTGAATTGTGGTCTGAATTGAGGGGTTTATTTTTGCCATTTGAGGGACGTACACTAAAAAAAAAGATTTGAATAATTCAATTAGCTTTGTTACTTAACCTAAATAATCCTTTCAGTTTAACATGCAAGTTTGTGCCTCATGTAAACCATTTTGGATGTTTGGAACAAACTATTCAAAAAAAAATACAGATTTAACATTATTGTATTTTTATTCACATTTGCATCTAAAGAAAATTTACAGTCTTCAGTGAACTTAGCATGCCCATTAATGGAATACAGGAGGAAATCAGAGTATAGTACAAAGAGAAAATCTATGCAGGAAAACATGTAAAGTACACATGGGAAAGCCTGAGGCTGGATTTGAACCTGTGATCTCTGAACAATGAGGCTTTCAACTTTATACAAGCCAAAATTAAGATATGGTTTCTGGCTAGTATGTCTTCCTTCTTCAGATGTTTTGGTTTTGTTTATTTACAATGTGTAATGAACAAACAAACAAATAATTTTTTTATTCAGAATCAGAATCAGAATCATCTTTATTGGCCAAGTATGTAGAACACACAAGGAAGTTGTCTCCGGTATAATATTTTGGACCAACAACTTGAAATTAATCGATTTGCTTCACCTGAAGAAATTTGTTTCAATGTGTTAACATTTTCATGTTGCATTTACGTCAAAGATAAAACGTCAGGTGCGACGGATGGTTTCAGTTTTTTTAAAGTTGATCCAGGGTTTCATTTTTTTTTTCAGTGCACATGAATGGGAAAATTCATCCCAGTCCGTATCAAAATAGCCCCACTTGCCAATCTTTAATGACATCCTTTATAAACCATGAGTAGTCTTTTAAAAAACAAGGCAGCTGAACAAAAATATATAACTCTATATATCTGTACATATTGTATATACATTTACATTAGTGAAAAGTTTGGGCATGGAAGTCTGGGCATACATAGCGCTATTCTTGTTGCAAATGTTTACTGTGACCTCATCTCAAGAAATGCACAAGAATGATAAAATATTTATCCACCACCAGTCTTATAATGTAAGAGAGTGCAAATATTAAATAAAATGCATCCTTTACTCTTTACACTTTACTCCCAGCCGCCTGTTCCCTCTGGCTTGAGACCAGACGGTCAGACTAAGTAGGAATTTTTGTGTAAGGGTTTGTGGGTACGAGCATGTTTAAAATATGTAAACAGTATTTATACTTTACATATTTGAGACAAAGACGAGAGCAGTACACGTATTTACTTAAATCTTTCATTATAAAACCTGATACAGTTATTAACATTCATCAGCATTGCCTTCTGAGAGAAGCGAAGAGACTTGTGCTGGTGGCGTAGAAGGCGGCCCCCATTAGCCACCGTTAGCCTCCAGCTAGCTCCTGGCCAGCTATCCCCGCGCAGCCGATGTGTTAATGATAAGACAATTACTCGGTATTGATGAGAAGGAGGCGAAGAGAGACGTGCTGCTGCTTTCGGACAGGCCCACACCCGCCCCCTCTCTCTCCGCCGTGCACGAAGAAACAACAGAAGAGACAGTATGCCAGAGAGTCACCATCGTGCCCGCTGCATGTACAGTACAGACATGTACAAAACCTCAGAATCATTCAGCCTTTTTTTTCTGAATACAGTACTTTGGAAAAATCTGTGATGCACTGAATCCGCAATAAGTGAATCGCGAAGTAGAGAGGGACCACCGTATGAACCTTTTCTGGGAAGTATTGAAACAAAGCAAGTTTGCTAAATTCTAATATTGTCTCTTTTGGTTTGTTTTTTCAGGAGTGGATGTCCTCTATCAACTTGGGCTAACAGTTCAGAAAACAACAGACAATCCATACGAAAGGACTGCCAAACCTTCAACCACTTATACCACTGTTCCCTCAACTATAAATCTCCCATTTTCTGGACATGGGGTAATACTAGACTCAAACTCACTTTATGAGGTTCCCACGAGCAGTCTTTTTCCTCCGGAGTTTGGTGAGGAGTTTTCCGTTGTTCTAAGTGTGAGCTCCTGGCGAGCAAACAACGCTTTTATTTTCAGTGTCAGAGATGGCAGCGACAGACTGCATTTTGGCATTCAGCTCCTTCCGCGCAGAGTGGTCGTCCATACAGGAGAGAAGGCCGCCATCTACTTTCCTTACAATTGGCATGATGGGCGTCAGCGTCCTTTTGCCATTGGTGTTCGAGCACGCTCAGTGTCTTTTTATTCAGATTGTGGAGCAGTACACCAGCAGGAGCAAATCCTCGGGAGGTCTCAGACACTTGGGAGTTCTGGAGCTCTATTCACTTTGGGCAGGATGAACCCCAAAGCTGCATCGTTCAATGGTCGAGTCTGCCAACTTGATATATATCCTGCAGCCCAAGCTGCTGCACACTATTGCAACTACCTTAGGAAACAGTGCCGGCTGGCCGACACATACCGATCGTCTTGGGTACATCATGCTTTGGCTATCGAGGCAAAAAATAGCTTCTCCGATACCGTAACAATGTCGTCTCTTGGAACAGCAAATATTCATCACTTACTAATGGAATCCAAGGGAACAATGGCCACTGACAGTGTATTCAAACTTTATTCAACCTCAAGCCCAATACCAGAAGCACATCTGAAAGACCAGAGGCACATTTTTGCATTTGAAACCCTTGCAAAGTCTACTATGTCCTCAGTTCAGGCTGATGGAGCAAATTCAGCTACTCACAGTGGGCAACCAGCTTTGGATTTCACTGTAACTGTCAGCACATCCCAAAACATACTGGCCAACAGAGCGAGACTCCAAGGGAAGTCTGATCAATATGACAAGAGCTCAGAGAACAACCCCACTGATGCTTCTACAGGCCAGATTCACCCAGTGAGGCAGAGTCATTTAAAAGAAGGACTTTTGACCAACCCTGAGGACTCAAATTTTAAACCTCAAGAAGCTCTGCAGCACCTGGAGACTCATCCAATGGCGAGTGGCATCACTTTGCATCATGAAATTAATGCAGACCCTTTTGAGCAACACCAACTGGATGGCAGCTATGATGATAGGACCACGGACGCATATGATTATGAGTATGAAGAAGCAGACCTCCTGTATGACTATGACGACAACTTACGTGGGCCCAAAGGAGAGCCAGGTCTTCCGGTGAGTAATATTAGGTAACTCAAGTCCCTTCATGCTTAAAGTGTTTATGAGAGAGATTTTAAATAGTATAGCCACATGTCAAGGAATATCATAACACACAAATTAGATTACAACACTTAACAAATTTATTGCCATATGTCATCAAGAGTAGCATCATTACGTTCTTTAATGTGGACTTTTATCACCAGGTGCATGTCTCTTTACCATTTTGAACTGTAAAGAGAAATTTCAGACTAATTTACATTTGTATACTCCAATGTGAGCTGCTTTACTGAACATCTCTGGGATGTTAGAAATTAATCAAGCATAATATTAGATCGCTTAAAGCACGGAGGCCGCAGACTGCAACCGGTTGACTTTGGACCAGGCCGAGGCGGGCCGCACCGATGCAGGTAGAAAACACGTCAATGTGGTTTATTTTAGCTGAGGCGAAAAAAATATTTTATTTTGACAAGTGGCCGGGTCCTCCATGTTTTACCTGACAATCGCGGACTCATGTCAAGGTTCTAATTGTCTCAGTCTTAATATTCAACCCACAAGCAAGCAAAATGAATAAAAACAGACTATTTGAAATGTTTCTTTGCAACGGGGAAAAGGCCGAGTGATGAGACAACATAAGCCAGGAGAATGATTGAAATATGAGTTTACAGCGACTGGTGATTGCCATGCACCCAGCCCACTCTCAACAATGTATGGCGAGTGGCTCTTGATTTCGCGTTATGGTGAGTTACATATTTTCAGGCACATTATATTTATTCTGTGGAACGTTGTTATGTCACTATATTTCAGGGGGACGCTGCTAATGTAGTTCCATAAAAATGTGGCTTCACGTTTATTGTTCATTCATTCATCTTCCGAACCGCTTTATCCTCACTAGGGTCGCGGGGGGCGGCTGCTGGAGCCTGTCCCAGCTGTCTTCCAGCAGTAGGCCGGGGAAACCCTGAACTAGTTGCCAGCCAATCGCAGGGCTCACAGAAACGAACAACCATTCGTGCTCACACTGACACTCACACCTAGAGACAATTTGGAGTGTTCAATCAGCCTGCCATTCATGTTTTTGGAATGTGGGAGGAAACCGGAGGACCCGGAGAAAACCCACGCAAGCACGGGGAGAACATGCAAACTCCACACAGGGAGGCCGGAGCTGGAATTGAACCCGGTACCGCTGCACTGTGAAGTCGACGTGCTAACCACTCGACTGCCGGGGCCACCCACGTTTATGATAACCATCTGCAAAATTCCCCAGGTTTTGCCCTGCTTGTATCATTCATGCACTTTCTGTTTGTTCTGTGGCGTCTGTTGCACGTTTAAGCGTCACCATAGTGATGGTATTAAAGCGTTGTTGTTACCCTTGTTACGGCGTTGGCACAGATCTAAGGTACATGAAAATACACAATGGATTCGCGTTTGTTGTAGCATTTTGTGAGGCGCACACACATGCACATGCACACGCACACGCACGCACGCACACGCGAACACACACACACACACACACACACACACACACACACACACACACACACACACACACACACACACACACACACACACACACACACACACACTAAACCATCCTGCATGTTTTATATGTTTCCCTGCTCCAACATACCCGATTGAAATGATCAGGATCGTTATTAGACCTCTTCAGGGCTTGCTGATCAGCTGATCATGCCTGATGTACAGTAGATGCAAATTGTCCAATGAACATACTGTATCAGTCCTTTTCTAAAATCTTGGCTGACATTTTTGCTTTGGCTTTGACTTTCATGTGTGAATAACTTCTGAAGGTTGGAGGGATACACTGTAAATGTTGCTCTCCATTCAGCCATATGATTTACATCAAGCTGGCTGTCAGGATAACTTTGCCGCTGAACATGATTTTAGAGCGCAGATTTCAGGTACTGGGTAACGTTTCTAAGAATGCACGGCATCAGATATTTCATTCTAACAATGTACAACATTTTGAATCACCTGTCAACTTCCTTTGTATTGCCTGCAGCCATGTAGGTGGTACATAGCTCAACTTGCCCTTTTTTTTTTTCAGCGTTCCCATTTTAGAATCTGAATTGTAATATGAGCGTGCTATGTTTTTGTTCTAAGCATATTGCATTTAATCTGGGAAGTCAGATTCAAGTCAGTGTAATGTGATGAAGAGTTTGCTATCATGTGGTAAAAATAGAGTTAGTCACTGTTGGAAACTGCATCAGTCATCAATTCCTGTAGGACATTGAGGTATTATTTATTGATGGCTGAAAAAGCCACAATGACTCAAATATTGTCATTCATTTTGATTTTGAATCACGTCACTGGGTAATTTCAAGTTCAAATGAGTGTATTATGCACATTACAATTGAGTGATCTCATGGGTAGCATCTTAAACGTCTGATGCAATCAAAGTTTCAAAAAATAACAGCTTGGTCCTTCAGTACTTGGCGTTTTCTGCTGTTATCGTTGATGGTTTGTTTGGCTACTGTCACCATTTGCAGGCCTGTTTTGAATGCACGCTCGGTTGAAGTTCAGTGGCTCTGTCTGTCATGACATACGCGGCTGAGCTCTGAAAAAAAGTTGGTTTCCTTCCTTAGGGGAGTATTTCACTGCCTTACAGGCATGTTTCCAAATAGGCTGTGGTGTATACACAGGTTGCTCTTGGGCCACAGTCTTGAAATGCATGCTTGAGCTTGCGTTTTACTACATCAGGTTTTTTTCTTTTCATAGGACATTAGACATTATGTTGAAAACTACTGCTATTTGTAAATACAAAAGAGATCTATTATGGATTTTCTCTAGTGTTCAATGCAGCATATGAACAGCGTGGAGCATGAACATATTCATTCAGTCCTTTTCCCCTGCCTATGCTGATCAGGGATGAATTGGATTATTTCCAAGATGACTCTGGCGAGAGGCAGGCGGGGAGTCAATCACAGGGCAACTATGGCGAAACATCCATTTCTGATTACTTCACATTAGCCTGTGAAACATTCAGTGTACCCGACTACCTGGGGAAGAGCCAGAATGAGAACATTCCAATTCCACTGAGATCAATAAAAACACGAGGAGAACAATACTGAAAACAAGTGCAGGGACGGCAGTTTCAACGCCATTAAGGACTCCGACTTGATTTTAGTTTGACTGTTTTTGTGCTTTATTTGCTCCATGTACAGCACTTTGTATACAGCGGTGGTTGTTTTAAAGTGCTCCATAAATGCAGTTGAGTTGAGTATTTGTTTGTACTTTCATATATTGTTGTTTTAACTCAATGCCTTTTGTAGAAAATAAGTTCACGAAAGAGACTTGAACGTGCAGAGGGTAAATCCATTCACAAGTTTTCATCAACTGATATCAGAAACTCATTACCATTTCAGTATGCTTAATTACCGGTAAATAATTACAAAAACATGCATGGCAGGCTGATTGAACACTCTATATTGCCCCAAGGTGTGATGGTGAGCAAAAATATTTATTCGTCAATGTGTGCCGTGCCATGGGCTGGCAGTCAGTTCAGGGTGTCCCCGCCTACTGCCCGAAGACGGCTGGATAGGCTCCAGCACGTCCCGCGACCCTTGTAAAGATAAGCGGATCAGAAAATGGATGGATTGGATGGATGGATCTTAATAATAATTATGTGTATGAATTGTTGCTGGCTAGAAATGATGCATGGGATGTCACATTCATGTGATGATACGTCACAATCATATTGTGGCTTGTTACTGGCCCAAAGATTATGAAACCACAAAACTGGTTTTAATGAAGGTTGAAACATTTCCAAGTCTGATAGTAACAGTGTCTTCCGCAAAATATAACTTAACCCCCTACACTGAGAGCGCCACAAAATAGTTTTTGCTGAACACAGGCTTTGAACCTGACAGCTCTTACATAAATTAGTACATTTTCACTCTGGATTCTGGAACAGCGAATAGCATGTTATTGCTTGTCATTAACATATTTTTACTCTTTTCTTTTTTTTTCCCACCACCTCCTTTCTCTCTCTCTCTCTCTCTCTCTCTCTCTCTCTCTCTCTCTCTCTCTCTCTCTCTTTCTCTCCCTCTCTCTCTCTCATTCACTTCTCAAGGGTCCTCCTGGTCCCCCTGGTTTACCTGGTCCTCAGGGAGCAAGAGGCTCGAGGGTGAGTAATGTCTGACAGGTTTAACCGTAGTGCTGCATGTCACAGCCAGATATAGTTGGCTACATTAAGAGAGTCAAAAATAAAGGACTTTTGTTCTTGTTTAATTCTGTTTACATCTTGCTGTCCCCCCCGCCCATCCCCCCAAAAAGGAAAAAAAAAGATCTTCGTAAGTTCATGCATTCAGGAAAAAGAGGAACAGTGTCAGACACCAGAGCAGTTTCGGCATTTTGGACTTACAGTGCAGGTCAAGGTGCCCAGTTTCAATTTAGCACTCAATTCAAAGTGACTCATAGCCAATACATCAGTAACAACACTGTACATTGATTGAATACGTGACATTACTGGCGTGTGCAAATGCCCAAAATGCAGGTGAACAGTCACATACAGCAAGTGTCATGCATAAACATGGAATTCATCTTCTTCTTCTTCTCCTTTCGGCACGTCCCTATTCAGGGGTCGCCACAGCGAGCCAGTAATTTCCATCCGCCCCTGTAAACCGTCCTACCAACTCGCATGGTCGTCTTGGCAAAAGTTTTACGCCGGATGCCATTCCTGACACAACCCTCCCCATTTCTCCGGGCTTGGGACCGGCACTGGGGAACAGTGCACCCCCAGGGGAGGGCACTGCCCCCCAGCGGCTGGGATGCATAAACATGGAATATGTAGTAATAATTTATTCAATATTATAGTTCAATAATATGATGTACATTTAAACATGCACACTGTTTAGGTAGTTAATTACGTTACTGAATGATCTATACAATCGTTTCTGTAGTTTTCATTTACCCATGGTCTTTTTTAACGTGTTTTTGTGTTGTTTGAACAGACAGAGTGTGTGTGTGTGTGTGTGTGTGTGTGTGTGTGTGTGTGTGTGTGTGTGTGTGTGTGTGTGTGATAGGTTTGTGTCCATCACCGGTAGCATATTTTGATGACATCAGATGCAGATTTGCGGCGTACATGCGACTTGTTCATTTAGGCTGTTGTTGCTGTTAATGCATGTCTCCCGCTTCTCGCCATGGGGTCACTCGCTTTCACGTTATGTCCTCTACCTGACATCCTTTCCAACCTGGGTTCAGGAACTTAATGAGTTACGAGGCTGTTCCTAAAATAAATAAATAATAAATAATAAACATGAATCAGCTCCATGGCCAGAACCAAGTCACCTCTGCGCACAGCTGGCGCAGACACCCGGCAAGAAGCTAGTGTGTCCCAGCACCTGCAGGGCGAGGACGCCACAGAAAGACGCTAAGATGGGAGACAATGTCTGTATGGCTTCTTAATATGGAATTAATTGCACTTTTCTCTCTCTTGGGAGCCTTACTGAAAGCTGATTTACAAAAAAAACCAAAAAACAGAAAGCACAACTGATCTCTCTGCATGGATGCGCTGACTGTTCGCGAACTGAAAGTATAGCGTCATTGGTGAAGTAAAGCAGTCTGATTGGAAATGGAATGGAGGTTCCACTTTTCTGTCATGTTCGTGCATCAGGCAGCACCAGATGTAAACCATCCGTTTTTCTTCATGACATCATAATATGTTGAGTACCATCACGGTTACATTGCAAAGGCATAAGATAATTTCCCACTCTCCTGCTGCCTTTTTACGATGATCGATAGGAGGGCAGCTGGTCAAAAGTGAAACATGTCTACTCGTGAAAGGTTGGAGAACACATGGAAACCCTCTGAGTCATGAAGCCGAGACAGAGTGAGGCTTGGAGTTATTATGCGGTCGGAAGCTTAGGGCAGTGTGCGGTCAAGCTGTGGTTTTGTCGCTGCTGGCTCAGCATAGTGTGTCAGACCTATTCGGCTTGGAACTGTTATCAAAGCCTTTGAACTATCCCACAATGGCGGAGGCATTCGTCATGGAAACAAACAAGGTTACTTTGAAGGTGATGCTAAGGCAGTTTCCAACAATGCTCTTACTGATAGTGATTGAATCTGTCTTTAAGGCTTTCATGAAGGAAAAAGCTGTGGTCATCATGTAGTTGGTTGTGGTTTCCTTTTTGTCACTAAATGGGTCGCTGTTTCCTGAAATTATTTATCATACTGGCTAAAAACAGCAATATTTGACTTTGTTATTTGTCCAAATTTTGGTAAGATTAAGTTGAAATGCAAGTTCAAGTGCATGTTACCAAAACAATAAGTGCATAAAAAAGTTTACACACAGCTGTCCTAAATTAACACTATTTGGCATTACAAATGTATGCTTCTGTACACCAATAACTACTTTTTTTTAAATTCAGAAATTTTACACTAAAATACATAACATTTTTTTATTTTACTCTTTTATTAAGAAAGAGTACACTGAATGAAAAACAAAGTTGTTTCTTGGAGGCCTTTGACTCTAGTGGAAAGCAAGCCTGGCTTGTAAGCAGCAGGGATACAGGAATGTGGCATATTTATAGTGTGTGTCTGTGATTATGTGTCTGTCGTTGTGCATGTGCGGTGTGTTTTATTTCTTGCATACCTGAAGTTAAAGGAATGAAATGCCGGAAGGCGGTATCTCACTGAGCGGCAAAGGTTTCTAAGTGTATGTGCACGTAGCGAATGTTTATTTTTTGGCAGGGTTAATTCCTCGTTGAAAACAGTTGCAAAGACGGTCGCCAGACATTCCAAAACAGTTTTAATGGTTGTAAACTGTTTTTCTTGTCACTGTCAAATTTTGAACGTGCAAAATTTCTTTGCAACAAGAAAAACTAGTTGAGAGCATTAACAATTGTTGGCGAACGTCTTTGCTCATGTTTTCGACCTTGAACAAACCCGGATGGAAGAATAAACATTTGCTACATGTACACATGCTTGCAAACCTTCACCACTCATTCAGATACAGCCTTATGGTGCACCATGAATTGATATCACAGTAATACATTACTGGAATTTCGAGTTGAACAAGGATCGTGTAGACCAGCGGTGCCCAAACTTTTTTGACCGAAGATCTACTTTTCGATCAACCAACCTCCCGCGCTTGACCCATTACCGCGCACACGCACGCACATAAACACGCATGCCACGATGAGCAACAGCCTGACACGGAGGCATGCGACGCACTTTTGCAGCCTGTTAACTATCGAAGCTCACGCGTACAGTTTTAAAATGCTTCTCTCGGCCCTCCAGATTCCCATTCTTTGCCTGTGCCCTCGGTGAATTGTACATGAAACAAACACTGAATGAGAATAATGATAACGATAAAAGATGGAGCGCAACAGCTCTGATCACAAGCTGCAATTGCAGACTGCTGAGCGCTAACAACTTACGGTGACGCATGTCACGCGCCACCGTAGGTTAAAGATGACCTGCTTTATTTTATTTTATTAATACTTTTAGTGAAAGTCAGACTAATAGGATGATTAGGGTGCAGTGTGCATGAACACAAAGACACACAAATGTTTGGTGTTTTTTTCCCCTCCATACCCCTCATGATCAACTTGGAACCAGTCCGCGAGCTACCGGTCGATCATGATCGACATAATGGGCACCTGGTGTCGACAAAAAAAAATCTCAATTGAACTTTATTGATAGAGGACTTTAAACAAAGCTAAAATAAATAGATGCAAATAAAAATGGAACACAAAACATGAGCCACAATAACAAGAGTAATAATTGTAATATAAGAAGAAGAACAACAACAATAACCTGGATTCCACCAGGAGACCTTGACAAAGTGGCTAGGGACAGGGAAGTCTGGGCTTCCCTGCTACAGCTGCTGCAATTTACTGTTCTATAAAAATACATTAAGTTTGTATTTAACACAGTTGAGTTGTATGGCCCATTTGAAAAATTAATTGGCCACCTTGGACTTGTAGTATGGAACCCTGTGATCAGCGAAGCACTCCTTAGAACACTCCCCTAGGGCAGCGGTCGAGTGCCCATTTTTTTGCGCCAAGGCCCACAAGAACATATTTTGATACAACAAATTTGATGGCGGCTCTCCTACACCACATTAGGCCCACCGTCTTGACAGTGAATTTAGTCGTTAGCGCTGGATGGAGCTAGCCTAGTCAAGCCAGCCACCGCAATGACCATTTATAAGCTATGATATGGAGCGTGCTACAAGCATCAACTTCAAAATAGAAGAAGGACTGTACATAGATAACAATGCCTGACCAAGCTTTTATTTTGAAGTTTTGAAGTTGGCCCTCGGAAGCAATTATTGTGGGGATGACCGCTGTCAGACTGACTAACTGAGCTGCATTAATCTAGTGTGTGCTGACACTAGATTAATATGGTGAACTGGAGTGCAATGCTCAAATTTCAGTACTCATGCGCACCAGTGCACCTCTTTTGTGCACCCCTTTGTGTGTGTGTGTGTGTGTGTGTGTGTGTGTGTGTGTGTGTGTGTGTGTGTGTGTAATCTTTAAGAATGGAATCATGATATTGATATAATGTGCCAGGATGTTTCCAAAAATATGCCAAATCATGCCTTCTTATAACATCTGGTATTCATTACTGTTTATCAGTCATCTTCAATACTTGGCTGTTATCAGTGACTAAACATAACAGTGCATTCCATTTTACTGTTTCAGGGTCCCAATGGTCTACCTGGAAAGCCTGGACCTGCAGGACCTCCTGGCCCTAAGGTAAGCGGCCATCTTTGACTGCTCAAATGGCTTTCTGATTGTACGAGACAAATGTCATATTCAGCACCAACAATTCAGTCCACCCTCATCATCATTTTTTTTTGCAATAAAAATATAATGAAGTTAAGCCAATCGCAAGCTGAGCTGTGCTCGGTCGTTACCTGACCTTTGAGGACATGTGATGTCATTTTCAGTTGACAGTAAGTGGCAAAATGCGTTTTTAAAGGTGTTAATTGATCCATTTCCCACTGAACCTCTTCAGGGTTCTAAGAAGGCACTAGAGCAGGGGTGCCCAAACTTTTTTGACCAAATATCTACTTTTCTGTCAACCAACCTCCTGGGATCGACCCGTTACCGCGCACGCACGCATACGCACGCACGCACGCACGTACACACGCATGCCATGATGAGCAATTTTTATTTTTTATTTTTTAAATACAAAGTAATTAAAATGCAAAGTTTCTTTTTTAAATACTTTTTGTGAAAGTGAGACTGATAGAATGATACGGGTGCAGTGTGCATTAACACAAAAATATATTACTAACATGCACAGAGACACAAATGTTTTTTTTTTTTTTCTTCTACACCCCTCGGATCGACTTGGGACCAGTCCCTGATCTACTGGTCGATCATGATCGACGTAATGGGCACCCCTGCACTAGAGCATAACCCTGCTCAATGACCAGTCAGTCATTGAGCAAATGACAATGCAGCACTGAGTGATCCGATGCCAGGTTCATGAAAGTTGGCAATGTTAGAAATGGCCTATTGATTTTTTTTTGTTGTTGTTTTTGTCTAACATCGGTGGCCTTGCTGTTAAACATTCTTTCCACCATACTTTTCCACGCACCATTGTACAACTGTCTTGCGCTTGCACACAAGTACAACTGTTAACAACTGTAACTGTTAATCTAATGCCCCAATGTTTTTTCTGTGATTCATTCTCATATCTAAAACTCCTGTGGGAGGAATGCCGGATTATGACTCTTCACCTCAAAGCAGAAAAATATATCCAGTTGACATGTGGAAGAGATCCCTGAAGCTTAACAGTGCTCAAATGTTTTAAGCACAATCTGAAATGTTTTGATGATGTGCTTGCAGGACGTCAAACAGTATTGTCTCGAACTGCTTCATGGACTGTTCAAACCATATTGAACTCTGTATGCTGTGCTGGAATCTTCTGATGCACATTTTTACATGCTTCAATTGCTCTCTGTCAAAAACATGAGACTATCATGTTTGAAGTTATTCGGGCAAATGTAATCTGAGCTGTCAAACATGGTTTACACAAATCTGAGCAAGATGAACGTCTCTGACGTTCCTGACAGAACTAGCTGTGTAAAGGAATTATATGAATCTTAATTCATCATATTTTTGTAACATGCAAAGCAGGATTTGTTCCCTAAGAGCAATTTCTTAACATGCAATTATAATCATCATCCAATTCGAAAACACTGAGGTCCTATTTTCGTTCCGAGCGTCTAGTGCAAAGTGCAGTCTTAACTGTGCAGATGGGTAGAGTGTAATTTTCTTTTGGTATCTTGCTAGACTTTGTGCTAGTAGAATTGGGCAAAATGGAGCATTAGCGCCTTTGTGCACCGTTGTAGGATAGAAGTAGGCCAATCCTCGTAGCCTCCCTCATTTGCATCAAAATCAAATTAGTCCGAGCGCTGTACGCCCAAGGACGCTGGCTCGACATTGCGGGAACAGAAATCAACTTGCCCGGGTCTATGAATGACACTGACAGGAAAACTGCAAGCTCTGCCCTTGCGGATGATGTCGTCAGTCGTGCATGTGACATGAGCGATTGGAGACCGCCTTGCACCCTTAATTGTGCATCTGTGTGAATCCCTGTCACCACCCCCCAACTCCCACATCACAATAAGATGATAATGATTATAATTCATTCAATTAATATATTTCTAGGCTGATTCAAAGGGATTGTCCCACGCTGGTGTCAGTCCACAACACACATCCACAGAGCGCCGAATTTGTCTGCCTCTGCCTTGATCAGTTACACCAAAATCACATTAAACTGCCTGTGCTTTGATTTACATCTGCTTTTTATGAGTCTAAAATGTAGTCTACTTTTTGTAACCAAATTTGGAGATGAAGGTCAAGTGAGGCATGAGAGTTCACCAAATTCACAAAGACGCTGAACTAGACAATTGCCCTGGCACGAAAATGACAATGTACACGTTTTTGTGCAGAGCGCAGACAACTTTCTGTTCCCAAATTGTTGGATGAGTCGGGGGCAAGGCAACTCGGTGCACCGGAACACCCAAAAAGACGTAACATGACCCCAAACAGGCCAGACGACACTTACGCTGGCACGATGAAGTTACGCCCGTTTTTATGCATAGGCGCCAGTGTACCAAAATAGGGCCCTATGAGATATGCAGTAGCCTGTTTGGTGTATCAGAATGATAAATCCAAAATTTCAAATCGAACATACATATGGCCACAACATTAAGGAAAACCTGCACCTTTCGGACGTTCCATTCAGCAAAGCTCAAAATGTCAGCTAATTTTGATATACTATAATAAACCTCAATTTTGAACCACTCTTTCAGAGTGGAGGAGTATTGAAAATGAATGTATTGATAAATAACTACTACTGTGACCAGGGATGGGTACAGAGCCCAAGTACTAAACTGGCCCTGAGGCTGAATTTTTAAAAACTACTATATCAATAAGCTCCATCATTTAACAGTTCTAACAGTCTTGGGGAAATTACTTGAAATAGTTTCTTTGCATTGGATTAGCTTTCTTGCTATGAACGTAGCATCCAAGCGTTTCACTGTAGGTATGACTAATCGATTTACACTCAATGCAACCGTTACACCTACTGAATAGTTTACTTATTCTTGGTTTGACCGATTATGTCTTGAGACTGGAGTGATACTGAGGGATGACGTCGCAACATCGCTGCTCAATGCACGTTGTCACAAGTTCAATCAATCAGTGAATTGTCAGGGAGAAATACAACCAAGCGTCACAAACATATCGAAAGTGTTAGGAGTTCCGGAATACTCCGGAACAGAATCGTATTCCACAAGCGTAGACACAGATAAGAGTTGACAAAAATGTTTATAAACAAAACGCAAGACCGACAAAGTACAATGAAAAACGCAAGAACAAAAGATAAACAGAAATCATTTGTCACAAAAGGACAATGAAATCCAAGACACATACAATAATACAAACAAGAACTACTTACAAGAAAAATACGAGCAAAAGGTGACGAGAGAACTATGAGGCAAAAATCCTGAACGTCTAGAACAAGGGTGTCGAAAGTCGGTCCTCGCGGGCCGCTGTCCTGCCTGTTTTCCATCTGTCCCTGCTGCAACACACCTGAATAAATGACGATCATTCTCATGCTTCTTCGGAGCTTGCTAATGAGCTGATCATTTGAATCAGATGTGTTTCAGCAGAGAGCAATGAAAAAAAACAGGACAGCAGCCCGCGAGGACCGGAGCTGGACATGCCTGGTCTAGAAAATACAGGCACTTCGTGAGCAAGGCTGAATTATCCGACAGCAAGTTGTTGGCATGGCTGAGCTTTGAAAGGCAGATGAGTAACGATGAGATTCATGACATGTGCGGCTCTGGAGGGAACGCCCTACAAGCCCGCCAGAGACTGAAACAGAAACAGTATTTTTGGAGACCAACTTCAAGTTCCTGCCTTGTTATTCTCCACAAGTTTTATTTTATACTAAATCATTGTTTAGCTAATGTTAACAGTATGATTTGATTTGAAATCATGTATTTTTATTTCGTTATTTTACATTAATGTCATTATAGTTGCGAGACAATGTTCATTTATTTAAAAAAAAACAATAACAAAAAAACTGTGAGTTCTAATGTTTTTGTTTTGATGGTTTTTCTAAACAAAAAAAGTACAGATAAGAATACTATTACGGCACATTAAGCAATATCGTTAAGAGTTGTAGTAACGTTAAAATCTTATTGCATCAATATCCACGCACATTTTGGCAATATGGATATGATGATCAAATAATAAAATAATAGCAGGAGGTTTTTGGTTGAGATGTTTGTGATTTGTAAGAACAGATTAGCTTCTTGTCAGTGGCTGATGATTCTGAAACAGATTTAGATTGCTGACCGTGCCCTTAACCTGTGACCTTGTCAATCTAGGGTGCAAAAGGAGACCCAGGGCTGTCTCCAGGTCAAGCTTCACCAGGAGAAAAGGTAAGGAATCTGCCCGCGGTGTCTGTGTCTCTTCTTCCTTTCGGAGTCCCTCTTGCTTTTTCCTCTCATGCTCTCTCTATGTCACGTCATGCTTGATTCTTTTGCAGTACATATTTTCCGATGCAACACAGCTACACTTCTCCATTTAATTAAGCACCCACAGTAACTTTCCAGAACTTCCAATAGATTGGTATCTTTGTAGCCACAATTTCATTCTTACTCCCACGTCCAAAACAGATTATTTTTAATTGTTTGAAAATCACTGCTGTCATATTTCATAGGACAGCTATGATAAATTTCAGTTGCATCTTGGAGGTTCATCCTTCATATTCCACAATGCACTTTTGCTGTGTTCTGCATATTCGCTCCCGTATATGATGTTTGTGTATTGTAATATTTTTGAAAGGAGACGTCTTATTTTTGTCTTTTATCTGTTCCAAAAGGGTGACAAAGGTCCACCGGGTCTGCTTGGTTCTGATGGATTTCCAGGTTTGCAGGTAAGATTTGATCTGTTCTTAATGCAATGGATTAAAAAATGAAGACATGGTGTGAAATTATATGCCATCAACTTCATTGATGAAATGAAGGAAATTAACATTTGCTTATTTGAGATTTCTGATTTTGCATGCGTTGCCGTAGAGCTCAATATTTCCGTTGTTGTCTTCAGTCAAAGCCTTTGAGTTAAACACTGTGCTGCCTGTAAAACCTGATGTGCTTTGAGATCAAGGTCAAAGGTCATCTGAAAGAGGAAAGGGCCTCCACTTTGCTCAGGGTGAAAGAGTCAATTGCAAGCACAATCTTCCATAGCATCCTATGCCTGCGGGAGGGTCAATACGGTTGCAATTAAAGACCAAGTTCAAGTCTGACATGATTGTCTTTGCCTTTTGGATGCACAGTAGACTGCGTTCCAAATAAGGGAACGCAGTCTACTGAAGCGTGAAAACGATCCTGATCATTAGAGTCAGGATTGTTGGAGGAAGGAAACATGGTAAAACGGTAAAAAGAATAAATAATAAATACTGTACACTAGGGATAACATTTTTCGTAATGTAAAAATTGTATTATCCGGTGATGTTTGAAGTTTGGTCACGAAAGGCGAAACTGATGCCCACATTATACTAGTTTAAACATTCCACTTTATGCAGCTGATGTATGCCCCACATGATTTTGTATTTCTTGATATATTATGGTTGATAGCATATACTTCTCTTAATGTTATGGAAAATATACACTCAAAACACATTTGCGTTATTCCTTTCCCAAGGGTCCAAAAGGTTATCCGGGACCACCTGGGCTGCCTGGAGAGCAAGTAAGTATTTTATTTATTTGGTACAAGGAAACTAAAGATAGACAGTATAATCCTGTACATACCGTCATCTAGTATAAAGCTAGCTCATTAAAATATCAAGTCAGACAAAATGCCAAAGTTAAAATTACTCAAGAGTGTTTGAAACATTTATTTACTATAATGCAGATTGAATTTGGGGACTACTTCGTGTCATCCACAGTTAAACTTGGCTGAGTAAAAAGAGGAGTAATTAAAGAGTCTAATAGCAGTAGGGGCCGCCTGAAAGGGGTGTATAAAGGAAAAGCGAGCGGATGGGGTTGTCTTGGTGGAGCCTCTCTGGAATGAACAGTGCTTGTTTTATTCCAGCTTTAGCAGCATTGGTTTCTCCTCTTTCACTTTATCCATCCATCTAATCTACCTGTTCACTGTTCATTCATTCACCTTCCTCTCTCTGTGTTTGTCTGCTTCAGGGCATACCGGGACTTCCTGGAGAAGCCGGGTCTGCAGGTTACCCTGGCAGGCAGGTGCAGTGAAAAATACAAAAAAACAACTTGTTTGTCCATTGTCTTTGCTTCTTTCTTGCTCAACAGAGAGAGCCCAACAAATAAAGATGGCTGCAAATGTATACATTAGCTTTGGAAGTAAAATCTGTGCAGTGTCAAAGTACTGTAAAACAGTCAAGAAGAGAGCATGCTTTACACTGTGAACATGGGTTTATGCTGTTTTTGTTGTTGTTGTTTGAGTGTTTCCTACGTACAAACAAAGTTCTCATCACCAGTCCTTCCATCGTTGTAGGGTGCCGCTGGCCCAGAAGGTAACCCTGGGCCAAAGGGGGTTCGTGTAAGTATTACTCGCTCCTCATATTTTGTCTTCAGAAACACTTAATACTTAATTTCCTGAAAAGATTAGCACAGTGTCAGACTTTCAATCTTGTTCCAGAGAGCTAATTTTTGAAGCATTGAAGACTGCAGTTCACTTGTTATGGCTTGAGGACATCTTGAAAGATTCCATAAAATATAACTAAAGCAGTGCCTCCAGATCTCTGAAAAGAGAATACTGGGAATACTTATGGGGAAATGAAAAGAGTATGGGCGTGAAATTAATTTTATTGAGACTCTGTGTATGGCAGCTGTGTGAACCACTACCCTACCAATGGCTCCAGTTTTTGCAACATTTACTGGAAGCTGTGAGACAAGAAAAAAATATGCCTAACACAGCATAAGGTGTCCGCTCCCTCCTTTTGTACTGCAAAATTACTACAATGAAAAAACATGCCTCTCATATGAAGAAGTGCAGATATGTAATTTATAGAACTGAGGCAGTCTCAGTTGGCCTCCAGTTAAATTGTTGACTTTTTTGGGGTGTGTCTGTGAAAAATTAGGTCATCCATCCATCCATCCATTTTCTGATCCGCTTTATCTTCACAAGGGTCGCGGGGCATGCTGGAGCCTATTCCAGCTGTCTTTGCGCAGTAGGCGGGGGACACCCTGAACTGGTTGCCAGCCAATCGCAGGGCACACACATACGAACAACCATCCACGCTCACAATCATACCTGGGGGCAATTTTGAGTGCTCCATTAAATTGCCACACGTTTTTGGAATGTGGGAGGAAAACACAGTACCCGGAGAAAACCCACGTAGGCACGGGGAGAACATGCAAACTCTACACAGGAAGGCCGGAGCCGGAATCAAACACTGCACCTCTGCACAGTGTGGCTGACACGCAAGCCAGTTGACCACTGGGCCGCAACTTTTGGTCAACCAGAAAAAAAAACAAAACAATACTGCACTCTCAAAAGGGGCATTCTCTAATAACAAACACAGTCGTGTAGGTGGATTTACTTCTGTATTCTGTTTATTGGTAACAGCATATATGTTGTGCATCATATCTTGTGGAGTTTTTTATGTAACGCAGATGTGCAAATTTTATCAGGAATACTGCAAAGTCAGTAAAGTTCATCTCTTGACTTTGACCTTGTTATAGATTGAACATATCCTTCATTGGCTGGTGGGACACAATGTTTAAATATGAATAATGCTCATCCTTATCCGTAGAAAGAGAGATAGATCAACCAATGGAAAGTTGTAGTATCCATACTTGGGGAAATGAAATGTCTTTTAGTATAGTTTCTATGTATAATTTTAGAAGATTTCTTTCTCATTATCTGAACGTTTTCTGACATAATATTCTTTTCTGAAAATTTCCAGGGTTTCATTGGACTTCCTGGTATAGCTGGGCCACCAGGACTAGAGGGGGAGAGGGTGAGTGATAATTAGTTTATTTACAAGTGCAATTGACATACGTAATATGCCTTTGTTTTGTTTGTTTGGTTAAAGACATAGACAAGAGATGGAGTATTTTACGTCCTGAATAGATTTTGAAAAAGGAAGTTTAGAGATCTTGGTCTTTTCATTTTGGTAATGCCAGGATGAATTCCCACACATAGTGTGTCATTTTCTTGAAACAATTTAGAAACTACATACAAGTATTTCTCACATTTGCAGTCATTTCTTGCCACCCTCGCAACCTTCCCCCTAAATCACCCTTTCTAAAGCGTTTTTTTCCTGTGTACTCATGTATTATACGGTCCAACGATCTGCTGATAGCCACACTGAGAAATCTGAGTGTCGTCCGTATCGTAATTTGTTGGATTGGGATTCCATGTGTTGGGACATATTTTTTATGTAGAGAGAAGTACTCTTACCTTGCTAACAATTTTGTATGTAAACATTCAAGTCTTTCTTCATCCTTCAGCCTTTCACCATCGCCGATTTGCCTGAAGTCACAAAAACAAACAGGAAAAAAGTTGTGCAAGTGTGCTGAGTGTCTCGGAAGATCACTGAGCGTTGTAAAAATGCCTTTGTGGAGGTGAAAAAGACTAGCTTTGAAAAATACTTCTTGCCTTCTGGCAGGGCCACCGCTCCCTCTGCATAGATAATGCACAGTGCGTAGGGAACTGTTGTGCGTTGGGGCACCATCGTCCGTGGTTACTTGTACGGTACTTGTGTATAAAACCACCTTGATTTTTCATTATTTTTTTGACAATAGAAGTTTTATTCTCAAAAAATTACTGTGAGTACAAATTGCTGAAGGAATTATAACAGAAAGAAGGTGCCTGCTCATTTGATAAGCAATGTAATGTAAATACTGAGTAATCAATTTCTACTACTTACTTTCTAGGGAATGCCTGGTCCTCCTGGAAAACCTGGTCCTAAAGGAAGACAAGTAATACACATTTTTCATTTTTGATTCTTTAAACTTTGTGTGTGTGTGTGCATGCGTGCGTGCGTGTCTCTGTCACCATATTAACTCATTCAGTACCAGCCAATTCTGGACCAAGTCTGAAAACACGTTTAAAAACATCTTTGGGAGTGAATGAGTTAATATCTGTCACCACAAACCACATGATGTCGCTTTCATCTCTTATTGGTCACCAGAATGTGAACAGGAAGCTGTGCAGACTAGCGTTTGAAGAGTGAATAAAGCTAAATAAACACAAAAGCTAAGTGTTGCCTGTTACAAAGGGCCCTATTTTGTCAAACTGGCACCTGGGCGCTTGGCATACAAATGGGCGTAACTTAAATTTTGGATCGGCGCAAGTGAAGTTTACCGTGTTTAGGGCCAAGTTGTACCTCTGTGGGCATTCTGGCGCCTCGCCGGCAACTCATCCGATAATAGGGTAACAGAAAGTAGTCTACGCTTGACATAAAAACAGGCTCATTGTCATTTTCGTGCTGGGGCAATGGTCTAGTTCAGTGTGTTTGTGAATTTGGTAGGCGCGCTACGCCTCACTGGGCATTTCTCGCTGCACACCCTGGCGCATCTGCTAATTTGACTCCAAAAAGTCGACCAGATTTTGGACTTGCCAAAAGCAGGTCTCACATGTGTACCTGGGGATAACGCTATTTTGGTTTATTTGATCAAGGAGCAGGCAGACAAATTTGGACATTTGGTTGATGTTATCCCCTTTCAGTCATAAATATGACACTAGCATGTCATAACAGATTAAAATCAGTATCATCCTAAAGATATTTTAATAGCACCCCCCTCAGCTGGGGGGGGGGGGGGGACACACATACGCCTACCCCCCCCGCGGGGGGGGGGGGGGGGTGACACACATACGCCTAATTGGGGGTGCAAGGCGGTATGCAATAGACCCTTCTCATGTGATGTTACATTTGTATGCCCTATGTTGAGGCATCCACATAAGAGGGACTGGTTCCAATGTGTCAATCCAATGGGCAGGTGTTCCAAGTAGGGACCTTTTTTAAAAAAGTAGACATATGTAGACCGATGACTGATAACACGAACAAGGGATAAGGCTGGTCTTTGTCTTTTAATTTTGCGTGTGGACACTCAAACATGGCGCTGGAAGCTAGCATTGTGGGCAAAATTATGTCAGCGAGACGACCGACTACATCATAGGTGTCAAACTCAGGTCCTGGATGGCCGCTGACCTGCGTGTTTTCCAAGTCTCCCTGTTCCAACAGACCTTTTTTTTTTTTTTTTT